AACGTTTTTTTTTTTTTTTTTGTTTTTTTTTTTTTTTTTTCTTTTCTTTTTTTTTTTTTTCCACTTATTTTTGTTTCTTATTGTTTCGTTCTTGCCGATCCAGAGATTCATGTCCCTCGTGTTTACGATTCGCGCGTGTGTGTGAATGTGTGCGAGAGAAATACGAATGAAAAAAAAATGTGTTGTTCGCCTTTTCCCACCGGATTCTTTATTATATATCATAATTTAAATGAATCAATGCACAATTATGTGTTTTAACCCGCTCCTCGTGTTTTTTTGAATTTAATTCGTTCTTTCTTTCTTTTATTCTTTTTTTGAGTTACCTTAAGACCGAATCAAAATAGGTCATAATGATTTTACATTTTCTTTATTAAAACCTTGTATATAAGTGTATACCAAATTCATGAATGGACTGTTGTAATTAATAATAAAGGTTAAGATGTTCGTAGAGAGGTATTATTATCGATTATACTTTATCATTTGTTAGTATAAGTGCGTGCGTGTGCGCGCGATGGGAAATTTCTTCGCGGTCAGATAAAAATAAAAATAAAAAAAGATTATATAGTCTCGACCGATAGACAATGTTGTGTTTTAAAATTTTTTATCCTGTTACATTATCCTGGACATATACAATCGATAAGGATGTATAATCAAAATCAAGAATCGTGAATCTACGTTATCTACGGTCGAGAATCCATTCATTTTAATTTTGCATTTATATTTTAATTATCGCGCAAATATATTTGAAAAAAAAAATAATAGCTTCATGATATTTAATTATGGACTGCACTTTTTCCCAAACAGTTCTACCTCTCATTTTGTTAGCGAGTTATTTACTTATGGTAAATAATAATAAGATTTAAAATAATATGTGCACGTGACTCGCACGAAACTAAATGGTCCAAAAATAAATTCAAGATGAAAAATGACAAGACGATATTTGTTATATCGATGAGAATTATATATTATATATATATATATATATATAAAGTATATATATATTTAAGGACCTTTGTCGCTTAGCTTTATAAAATAAGATGTTTGACAACAATACGTTTGACTACTTACCATTTTGAGTGGTTTGTCCAGTGGCTCGTACTTAACGTAGTCACTGACAAATTTTCCGCACTCCTGCCACGTGTACAGTTCCGGGTATGGCAGTGTACTTCGTTTGATAGTCGTAGACATAAATTTCTGCACAAAAAAGTGATTTAAACTATAAAGACACTTCCTATGGTGATTTTCTTTTCTTACTCTTAATATTACTTTGTTATAGCAAGATTAGTTCCAAGAAAAAGATTTTTTTTGTCTTTCGTATATTTATTCTTTTTTTCTTTTTTTTCTCTCTCTCTTCATGCGTTACTGTTGTGAAACAAATTCGTTATTGTCGATCCGCCATATTAGTTTTATCGATATATTTGAAAGTCTTTTCGCGAGATTTTCGAAGCATTTATAAGTTTTCCCATTCTCCCTCTTTTTTTTTTTCCTGAGAAAATCGTTTCATAAAATGATTGTTCCTATCGTGTTCACGTAACGCGCGAAACGTTAGGTACACTGAAAGGAAATAATCTTGCAGTTAGCAATGTATATTTATAAAAACTGACAAATGACAGAAAACCAAAGTGAAGAAAGTACTGTCAAATGATGGTACGTGTAAATAAGACTGTGACCGTGCACTTGCACGCAAAGTGCATAACATATATTGTAGAACATTTGAAGCATGTATGAATAAATGTATAGCGAAGTTTATTTTTATTATTTAGAGTGTAGAAAAGAAAATTTTTTCGGGTGTATTAGAAAGATTCCTATTATACAGTTATATTTCCATTATAGTTGCATTAAATGAAGAACAAGAAATGAATAAGAAAAAATAATGATAATGAGAAACTTAGTCTATCAAGAATGACATTCCTCGTTACAAATACTTTAAACAACTTAAATTTTGAATAACTGATAATTTTTTTTATAACATATTTTAATTTTTATATGGAGAATAATGTCTTTATACAATAAATCGAGAGAAGTATTTATTAAAAGAATAACTAGAAAAAGAAAACAAAATATGAACATATTTACATTAATTTCTTAATTTATCCTTTTTTTTTGAAAATCGAAAAGAAAATCACAAGTAACGAGAAATGATATTTTCTTCATTGAAAGATACTAAATGTAAGAATGTTGATTCTGTTTCGAAGAATATTTCGTTGCAGATGGATTGCGAAATCGGATCATTTCTTTTTTAGTATCGACTATATTTTTTACGACCGTTGTTTCGTTTGTATAAAAGTTAATTATTTAGATAAAAAAGAAAATAATAACGAAACACGTGTTGTAATATGCAGAAAGTGTGTAATGTAAATATATATGATGTTATATATAAATATTGGAGAATCTTTTAAGCTATTATGAGTTTACAATTATGCGTTGATTTTGAGAAACGTTAATAAGAAACATAAACTAATTTCCTATACATTGCTGTTATTCGCCATCTTCAAATATCCAAAAGTTAAAGAACATCATATTAACTTGAGATCATCATGTTATGAGAGTAGCACCAAAAATTAAACCAATGACGAATAGCAATTTGTCATGATTAAAATGAATGATTTTTGCGTTTTTTAGTTCGATTGCGCGGAAGAGTTTTAAATAAATAAGCTAATATTGAAAATTTATTGTAGATGAAAAGAATCGATAAATCGTAAATAACGATCGAGTCTCTCGATTAATCTTTAATTTAATACTTAAAAAATTATTAATTTTAACGAAACGGATAATAAATAAAAAAAGAATTATTTAAACAATTGAAATTTTCATAAAAACCATGATCCACACTTTAATCCAATTGCATAATTTATAATATTAAGTACATTAAGTACATCTTTAATATAATTAATTAGAGAATATAATTAACAAGAAGAATGGAATCGAAAATATCATTATTATCATTTGAATTGGAAAGCTCTATTATTATCCTATTATTAATTTTTTAATTTTATAATATACTTACTTGTATACCACATTCATTTTCACATACTAGCAATAATGGTTTTCTTTTTGGATATTTTACATGAAATTGTTGTCGAAAATTTTCGGCATACCATGCAAGCAACTTTTCTTTATCACTGAGGGTACAATAACTACTTGGAAGTCTTCTTAGGTAAAGATCTTTTGTGTAATCAATTTCTGGCCAGCATAACTTGATCAAACATAGTTCTTGTTGTACTTTTTCTATAAGTTCTTTCGTTATTTTAAGAATACCTTCTTTCGTTAATTTTTCTTCCAATTTATACTCTTCTTCTTCCGCAGAAGTAATAGTTGATATACTTTCATAACTTTCAAATGCAGTCTTTTCATCTTCTTCCATTTTTAGTTGAATGATTTACAACAAAAATAAGGTTAATAACTTAACTTGTTAAGTGTTTACTTGTATCTAAGAATACCAGAATTTAAATTACCCCTAGGAAACTGTTTATTGTCATGGTAACTTAAGAAAACAAGGTGTTTCTTAAATATAATAGTTTCTAAAATACTCGATAGGCGGCAGCATGTTCCGTACCTGTTTAAATTGCGTAAGAATATAATGAACATATCACTCATAACCTTTTTATCATATTATGTACATTGAATAATATGATAAATTAGTAAAACCGTATATAATGCATACAATTTATTGCATTGTATATTATTGTTTTGTATAATTTTTTTTTTGTGATTCAAGAGGGCGTATATTTACAAGAATTCCTCATTATGACATCTGTAAAACGAACTGTAAACAATGGACATATTTCGGTTATGAACAATGTATCGACAATAGGTAAGCTTATGTTCAACTTAAACGTATTTAAATCTTCTTTAGATATTCAGAATATATATATTGTAGCAATAAATTGCATTTTGTACAAAAAGTGGCATGCAATAATAAGCGTCATAATTTTATTAATAAAAGTTGTCACATACATATCATTGGTATAAAACATACGCGTTATTTAAACAAAAATACATACAAGCTGTGAAGACAATGTTCACGATGGTATATATATTTTATTTATAAACTATAAATATAGCAAATTGGATCGATCTTTTCGTATGTAACAAGAGCAATGGAACTGAAACATATAATTACACGAATATATTATATCATTTAAAAGTGATTTTTTAGTTTTTCAAAAAATTTATGCGATTAGGTCTAAAAATTTTTTTAACATTCACGTTCATCATTGAATCAATTCTTTCGCTTATTATAAATCTTCTAACTTGAAGAAAGAACTTCATCCGTATTCTTTTTTAAATTATCACTCATAAATTACGTCATGGATTTGTGTTTACAAAAGTCGATTGAAACATCGAACCATACCATCACTTAAGAAATAACTTCAATTTGTGTCAGTCGAATCTTGGCGCCATTTTTGAGCTGCCTCTCGTCGGGCATCGGGTACTAATTGTGATTGCATACCACCTAAAACATTACTAGTCGCTTCTGTAGCTAAAATAATTGGCTTCACAACTGTTGGCGGTATTTGTCGTAATACACCTCCTACAGCACCAGAGACTCCTTTTTGTTCATGTTCTTCACTGGCTACGCGAACCAATTGATTTGCTGTTTCTCCTAAACCCTGAAAAACATATTCGAAATTAATTATATATAATTAATTTGATAACATAAAATATGCAGAATTTTTTATAGTTTCAAATATATGCGATATTTTACTTCTTTTACTAGCATATATGCATTAGCCATTCCTTCTCGAATGTCTAATGGTTGACTATATCTTTTCCGACGTCCTTTTTGTCCTTTGTGTTTATGCCTTACGCTAGGTCCAGGACTGACCATATCATAAGCCGTTTCGGCTGTACTTTGTATAGCATGTATCAATCTAGAAGTCAGTTCCAAGGCTGCCATAGCAGTAGACGTCGTAAAACTATTTGCACCTCGTTGTAATCCTCTAATAATCCTACCATCTTTTTGATACTGTTCGATAGGTAACCAGAATAAATCTCTTATTCCTTGAACTATAATAACAAGCAAATCATTTCATTTACAATATAATATATAAAACAATATAGTTTAAGTAAAATATAAACTTACATAATTGAACCAATGAATGCATAGGACCTACGCCACCAAGTAAACTTGGAAGTTGATTTTTCTTTATATCTTGTAACCATTCGGAAAGTAAAAATGTTACTAGTTTATCAAATCCTAGAAGTCCATGTCGATGTGTTAATCTTTTCAGTCTTAATTCGGAGCAATTCAACTGTGCTAGACCCATTAGAAGTCCTGCTAACGGCCCATGAGTCAGATCTACACGTTTTCCATGATAATCTAATCTAACAAGGACTTCAGGAGAAAATATCACACTCCTGTATAAATTAAATAAATCAAATTCTTATATACGATATATCAACAGAATATATTGCTTACGATATATACAATATTTTGTTTTATATTTATTATTTGAATATTACTTATAAATTTATTTTACACTTAAGCAATTAATTTACCTAAAATATATTGGTTGACAATCTTCATGTACTTCAGGCATCGGTTTCACTTTCACATTGTTTTCCTTAATCATCAATTCATCTTCCAAGAGTATTAATAAATTCGGATCTATGGTATCATTCTGCAACGTATTCGTTGGCATTGATGCATTAGGCATGGACTCATTCACACTCATAACTGGTGGATGATGCGTTGGTGTTCCTTGCTTGGATACTGGAGAGGATTGTGGATTATTAGGTACATTACAGTTCTCTTGAGCATGTTTCGTACCATTACCCAATTCATTGAAGAATTCTATCAAAAACAATAAGCTATCCTGATCTATATTTAATCGTAACGGCAGTAGACTGAGTTTCAAACAACATTCTTGAGCACTTAATCTTGGATCTGGTCTAACATGGACCGCTTTCATGGCAAACATATTCGCATGAGACTGTTTCGGTCTCGCTTCACTACTATATTGATACAAGAATTTGTTAATGTGTGAAGATGCTAATCTGTCTCTAATTTCTATTTCGTTTACTAATAGTATTTGTCTTGCTGCTTCTGTTGTATTTTCTGGATAAACTTCGTGTTGAAAGCGCACTTTATTTAATTGAAGCTCCATTAAGATATCATGGCGACGGCCAGGACCTCCCATTATTTGCCAATCTGTTATTTCTTTACATTTTTCACGTGGTGAATTCGGTGCACTTCCAAAATGTATTTCATTTGAATTGGATTTATTGAAAGTTACACCATCCCACCATGGTGATCTGGTTCTGTAAACATAATACAATATATAATGTAATTTCATATAAATTGTTTAACTTACATACAATAAAACGTACTTATCCTGAGATGCGATGTTAGGACGAATCGTATTGTCATTAATAATGACTTGTTTTTTGGATGCTATTGGTGCTTCAAAATCTTTTCCTCCATATATATGCCAGATCAAAGTCATTTCACAAAGAGTGTACCTTAAAATTGGAGCAGGGAAATGTCTTGGTGCTTTAAGTAAATCAGTTTTGCCAAGTGGAACTGAGAAATGATTATCTATTATCCTTAAAGATTCTTGACAAAGCCAACGAATTTCTGGTACGCCATGCCTAGGCATAATTCCTGTACCCGCTTCTTCTCCTAATATACAAAAATCTTCATTTGAATCCTCAGCTTCTGTATCACATTCTGTTTTCGTACATTGCTCAGGATTTTTATACATTTCAGGTACTGCCTGTGAAGCAGGACGAGATTCGTCGGGAAAGAAAAATACTTCTACTTGATTTTCAGTTACTAATGTATTGCCGTCTATATTTGAAGACGTCCCTGTGTCATGCAATTGTATCAATTATTCATAATCGACATTTATTTGAATATTTTAAATCTCTTATATTACTTAATATTACCTTTTATTGTTTCTTCCATTGCTTCTTTCATTAAATTATTAACACGTTCAACTTGACTTTTACTCAAAGTATTAACACACTCATCGCCAAGAAGACTTTCTTCGTCGCCAGAATTTGGTACCGTAATGTTTCCGGTAGTTTCTATGCTTGACGAAAGATCTCCATCATTAGCAAAGTATGTTAATAACTGAATAAGAGCACGTCCAGAATCGGAACATGTTCGAACATGCAATACATTGTTGCTTGCCCTTAAGTCAACTCTAGGTGCACCACCGCACATTTTATCGTTCAACCTTAATGATAATTCGAACAATCCTACGTCCATTACACATACAAAATCCCGTTTTAAATCTACATTTTTTCCTAATTTATTAGATATGAACAAAGCAATATCTTCTGCTATAAAACGTAATGTCGAAGTATTTGTATGCGCTGCAATATTACTGGAAACACTAAAATTACCAAGTGTTACCATCGATCTCAATGGTAAATGAATTGGTCTGAAATAATACAAATTTTTTTTATTATATTATTATGTTTCATAAGTAATATTTAAAAAAATAAAAACCTATAATCAACTGCACAATCCCAAAGATGTAAATGTAATTCCGTTAATATTCCTGGCGCAGAATATCCAGCAACTGGATGATCAGCTACATCCAAACAATCTGTTAATTGCGTAAACCATGATGTACCAGTGTTAAACATTCTATGCCTTAATGTAGCATTTGATATGCCCACTGCCACTCTGAAAGTCTATTTCAAAATAACTTACGATTATTTAATTAAATGATAGCATAATATTTTTATTTGAAATTTTTAAAAAACAAACTTTAATACGGTGCGTTTGATGAGCAGCTTGTATTCTAATAGCAAGTAATACCATATCATCATTATTGTTTGCTCCCATTACATTTAGATCACTTTTATATATAGAATGCTGACAATGTTTGGGAATGTCACTATTAATAGGTCTCAATGAAGGTGGTTGTGAAGGTGTCGTCATTAATCCACAATGATCCAAAGACATTTCTTTTATCATAGCGCAGACATAACTCAAATTTGAATTTCCTTTGTATGCGGTTACCGAAAATATAGTTGCATCATCTAATCGAATTATTAATTCGCCTTGTTGTCCGGGTATAACGTTTTTTACAGAATCACGAGCAGGAGTATACATGCAGAGAAGGCCTTGATCTATATTTAAAAATAGTGCTAAATTGCTCTGACCATTCTTTGATACTTTATTTTGATGTTGCCTATAACTTTTATCGGCTGCAGAATGAAATATACCCTCCTCTGAGTCTGAATCAGAATCATATTGAACTCGACTTTTACATGTGCTAAATCTTAAAATAAAAAATTATATCTTTTTAATGAAATATAAAAGTATTATATTATCTGCTTTTAATACTATTTACCTAGGATAAACAGATTCTTGTAACAAGGTAGATGCCAAATCAAGACCTATATGATTTTCCATGTGTGTACCATACTTTGGTCTTGGCGCTGATGGTTTCCATAAAAAAAGATCAGTGTTGAATCTATTATATAACAATTCATACAAATGTTTAGACGGAATTTGGACGGAAACACATGGAAAACTGATTTCTATTTGTATTCTAGAACTGCGAATGCCTTCATCTATAAATTCTAACATTTCTTCTCGATTTCCTGGTATAATCAACTCTTCGCCTTCTCTATTAAAATAATAAGATTAGATATAATGTTATTTTTCAAAAAGTTAAAAAATATTAATTCAACTAAACCTTTGCTCTGAGTCATCCTTATCACCCTGTGAATGTGGTTTGGAATGAGGTGTATCAGATTCATGAATAATACGTTTCGAGCTGAACGGAGACGGCTGATGTTTAGGCGCATTTTCTAAAGTTTCATCAAAACTAGAATCAGGTTCTCCTTCGGAACTATCTTCTAGTTGATCATTCAAACGTTGTGGATAAATTGTAATAACTATTCTAGCCCAACCAAATCCTTCATTATCTTGTTGACATGTTGCATTATCTTTTTCGTGAGTTGTAACTTTGCCTATGTTCAATGGTATATCTGTTTCCGTTTCTGCATATGAAAATAGTAATTTACGGAACTGAATTTCAAAATGCTTTTTTATAGAATGCGGATGATTCTTGGAAAAAATTTTTTTAGAAAAAATTAAATGCGGGCAAAAATGAATTTGTGCATCTGTCATTTTTAAAATCATATAATCTGTTCTCACAGATCTCTTCCACCACGGTGCCCGATTCATATCGTGTAACGGTCTTAAATCTGGTATTGGAAACCTATTTTTAAATTATTAAAATATTTTATATTCAATTCAATATCTTTATTTTTGTATATATATATATATATATATATATATATATATATATATAATA